AAAAAAAAAAGTTATTTTAAATTTATGAGGAAGTCTAAGTTTTGCTGAACCTTATCGAATAACGCGATTGTCATTCAAATCAGTGGAATCGCACAAAAGTTATGAGAGGTTTACTCACACACACTTAGTAAAAAATTTTTCGTCATTGTGTAAAGTGTAAAAATGTTTGTGTAGAATTTAACATTTTAGCATGTAGAATTTAACATTTTAGTATGTTGATTCAACACAATAGAGTGTTGATTCAACACAAATTGTGTAAAAAAAGTCATCAACACATGTTTTTGTCTTAAATTTGACGAAAAATTTCTATCAGTGCACACACACACACACACACACACACACACACACACACACACACACACACACCCTGATAGAAATCTTCGTAGGAGTATTAAGAGCTACTTCCTAGGACCTTAAAAATGTGGAGATCAGATTAGAACTTGATTTTCGAAAACTGGCTTGGAACCAATGACTTCCCGATTTTTTTTTTTTAAATCATTTATTTGTAAAGTGAGAACTTAAAAATTTAGAAAAAAAAATTTTAGATGTGAAAAAAAAATTATTATGATGCACAATGACGATAAAAATTACTGCACAGTAAAAAATTTTTCGTCAATTTGTAAAGTGTAAAAATTTTTGTGTAGCAAATTACACTCTAGTGTGTATAATTTTACACTCTCATGTGTTGATTTAACATACGAGAATGTAGAATTAACATTAGTTTGTGTAAAAACAGTCAGTAACACAAATATTTGTGTTAAATTTGACGAAAATTTTTTTACTGCATGTAAAAGAAATTTTTATTCCTCTGAAATTGTAGGAAATGACGTTAAAATATATTTTAGAAAGCTAAAAAAGCTTTTTGGAAAAAAAAATTTTTTTTACGAAATTTTGGGGGTACCCCATTTTGCCACCCTTACCCCATTATATATATATATATATATATATATATATGTATAAACTTTTGAACTATATATATTTTCTGACTCAGCTCGACAAACTAAGTCAGAAAATGACAAAAAATTTTTTGAAAGTTGCGCCATGAGGACGGCTGCAATAGTTAGATTTTTATAAAATCTACTAACAACAGCTAGAACAAATTATTTTATTTAATTGCAAATAAAATATATGACACTTACGTACGATGTTTCAAAACTCATTTAAAAACATATTCATACCCGCAACTTGCTTTGGTGATTGCCAAATACTTGGATCTACCATCAGGAACTGTCTCTACGAATGTAATACATGTCGACTTCTCCCATACACGCATTGCTTCTTTTATTAATTTACGTTGGGAACCACTAAAAACATCATCAATTATAAAAGGAATAACACCTTGATCCCACAAGCGATCTTTGCTTTTCGTTGCAACTGTTCTCCGCATTCTCTCGAGCAGCTCAATATATTCAGATTTTGTTACATTACGTTCAACATGTTTCGAGCTTTCATGAACTACACTGAAAAAAAAAGTTTTTTTATACCCAGAATACCGAATATTTTTTAGACGAGTTTTCTTGTATGCAGTAAAAGTAAAGTTAAATATTTTAGATTTAAGAAAACTGGTATTTTAAATCTGAGAATACCAAGTTTTTTAACGGGACTAAAACTAAATTCTATGTTATCATAGCAACCGTGACGGTGGCGCCACTATTTTTGTCATTTCCCTCCAATTTACAGTGTACGCGTGTTTTTTAGTTTACCTCGTGCCTGAGTCTACTTACCGAAATATTTATTTGTGTAAATTAAATAATTTATAAATTATAAATAAAAGTATTAATCATTAATATTACTTCCCCTTACTCCCTTACTTATATGGATTCTTGGATGCAAAAGAAGTTGTCAGAGTTGAATTTATCATCTCCAACAAATTTATAACTCATTTTAGCAATACATTCTTTCCTTATAATCAATTTTTATAATAAGGTAAAAGACCCAGTTATTTACACTGGCCTAGTTGTTTGACACTTGCAATTTTATTCTAATTAAAAAAATAAAATGTTCTCAAAAAACCAATTATCTTAAAATTTATAATTCAAATATTATGTTTATTAAATTATCAGAGTTGATTTATTTTTTTTAATTAAAATAAAATTGCAAGTGTCAATAACTAGGTCTTGTACCTTAGTAATGTTATTAGTAAATTAGTAAAATAATGCTATTAGCAAAAAATTGCAATTTTTCGACAATAATAAGAATTAAAAATAAGAAAAGAAAGGCTTAATATACTATTTTCCATTTTTATTAATTTTAGTGTGATAGATTGTATATAAATGAAAAATTATAAAAAGTATAGTTTCTCATAATTATCTATCCTGAAGATTCGTGTCGACCAAGCGAGGTTAAGTCGGCCATATTGAATTTGGTATTTTAATAATGAGAATACCAAATTTTTTTATATCCAGTAAACTTATTCCTATGGTTAGTAAACTTTGGTATTCTTATTTTAAGAATACTTTTTTTTTAACTATAAGGAAACATTTCCTTGGTATAAAAAAACTTTTTTTTCAGTGTATATGTGAGTTAATCACAACAATCATCGATAGTAATAATATCAAGCGAATCGCTATCAAATGAAGCAGTAGTTTCATTTCGAAAATATTTTTAATATTCTATTGAATTGTTGTGACTTGTACTTTCTTCTTTGAGTGTTAAAAGTATCTCTTTAACGTTATTATAATCGATGATATTTCGATAGTCACGTTGATACTCAACGACTTAAATTGACTAAATACAAAAAACGCAGTCGAGATCGAAAACACCATTGTACCATCAATAAATGACTTCGGTGATCTATTGGAACCCGCTATTTTTCAAAATACCAGTAGTTGACCGCATGCACAGTTGACAGTTTCTAACTTGTATAAATTAAAAGTATAAATATGTTTACGTGATAATTTAATGTTTACATGAATGTTGTTATTTAAAATAATTTATAATTATTAAATTAATAATAATAAAGAAGTATTTATACTTGTGTTTAATGTGTTTCAAATAAGATGACTGCTAATGAGTTTGCCCTTGTCATTATTGAATCTAAGTTTAATTTACTATTCTGTTACGTTTTTACTATTATTAGTTTTGTTCTAAACTAAATGAATTTTGTTTACTAATAATCTAAATCTAATTTAAATAAATAAGTATAGAAACATTATACATTAAATAGAAAAAACTAATTAAAGCTTAAAAAATAACCAATGTTCCATAATCGGTCAACTATTGGAACATTCTGGTCAATTTACTGGATGAAATATTCTATTATTATTAATTATTAATTTTTGAAGAGAAGAACATCAATATTTATCTTTGGATAATAGATAAACAAAAGAATAGCTTTATTTAAATTAAGTAAAAATTATTTTAATCAATTTAACAATTTCTTGAGCTAAGAATATATATTCTTGAAAATTTTCAAGAACATAAATTCTTGTATCAAGAAAATTTTCTTAATAAAAGTATTTTTTTTTCTCAGTATAATTTATTTAAACTAAGTCAGCTTAAAACGAGAGCTTTGTAATATTCCTTTATTTTGACGTCAAGTGCATTGCAACTGTCTCTATATCGATGTAAAAATAGTCTGCTAGGTCAAAATAATAATCATAGCTTTTCGAATACACTGAGTACATCAGTCGATAGTTACCTGCAACGTTGCTAATTGCCTGTGGCTAACGAGCAATAAAAAGCATGCTGGCTCCAAGTTAGATGTTAAAATTTTACCTATATTTTGTTCGCATTAAAAATTCACTTTTACGATCCAGTTTGTTGTGTCGACAAAGCCTCGTTGCTTAGGACGTGGCTAACCCAGTTGCGCTTATTATTCCTGAGCAGGATGACGTGCTTCAATATTCAACGTATCAAAAAATCCGGTGTACTAACCAGTCATCTAGGTTTGAATAGTTTTATCATGTGGGTGATGAGAGCTACTTTGTGTTGTTGTCTCTTGTTTATCTGAAATGTGTCGTGTAGTAAAATAGAAATTATAAAACTGTCCGGAATTCCTTCGCAACTTCACCGCAACGCAGTAAGTTTCCAATACTTTTAATAATTAACAGTGATTAACGAATTTATTTTCAACTTCAGAGAGAGTTGGCTGAAATGTGTTTTAAGAATAATTCAAATCCAGTTATTATTTCCGCGGATCTACTAAGCAATGATTGGGATCCAGGTGGTAATTCGTGGGTTGTATTTGATCACAAATTCCAGAAACAGGCTACAGGCTTTAATTCAGCTTATCCAACATACGTACTTTCATTTGAGTCTATTGGTTACTTGAAAGCAGTCATTAATCATTTCCGGAGATCGACTGCATGGAGCATCAAGTCTCCATTTTTGATCGTTGAAAGAAAATCATCTTGTTTGAATGCTCGAGAAGTATTGCAATTCATGTGGAAGCAGGATCTATTGGCCGTCTTTTACCTGTGTAGTGATCAAGATACGACGATCGTTTTCACGTTGAATCTATTTGCAGCCTACGCTCCAGCACCATGGTTTTCTTTTGACAAATTCAGCGATAATGGAAAGATATTGACCCTTTACAGTATGAAATATACAAAAGGTAAATTATTGATTTCGAATACTTAATTTACTGGAACTCGAAAAAATTGAAACCTGACTTTTTACGGCTCTGATTACGTGTTCGCTAAAGGGCATAGCCGGATTAATAAGAGAATTCTGCCCTCATGGCTTTTTTGGCTCTTTAACTCAAACGGAATTCGAGAATTTCGAAAAAACCTGTTTATTCAAAATTATTTTTATTTTTATAGTAAAATTCGGAATTATTTAATGATGATTTTTTTCCTAATTCTTACGAGTCCAAAACATGAAAGAATCATATGATCATGATTCTCATACAGAAAGCCGATTTTTAACGGAGAAAAAAAAATTACATTTTAGCCTTCTTGAAATATGTCACTCACCAAAATTTGTCAGAAAATGTCTTTTATACTCCTCTATACTCAGGAATTTTTTTGAATTTTATGAGTTCCACCACAATGAAGTGGTGGAACAATTAAAAACTCATTTTTTTCTCAAAATCTTGCGTTTTAACAAGCTTACATTTTTTTTAGTACACATAAATACGTAGAAAAAAAATTTTTTTTTATTTAAAATTATTATTTTGATTATAATTTTTATTTTTTCTGTATCAAAATTCAAAACATTTCCCAATAGTATGAAAAAATATATAAGTATTACCTTTAAGTGTCTTTTGAATCATTAATAACCCTTCTAATCACTTTAACCTACTGATTCTTTCTGTTTATCTTTCGCGAAGATATATTTTGGTAAAAAAAAAAATTTTCTACGTATTTATGTGTACTAAAAAAAAAATGTATGCTTGTTAAAACGCAAGATTTTGAGAAAAAAATGAGTTTTTAATTTTTGTTAATTGTTCCACTACTTTAAAAAATTCAAAAAAATTTCTGAGTACAGAGTAGTATAAAAGACATTTTCTCACGAATTTTGGTGAGTGACATATTTCAAGAAGGCTAAAAAAAAAAAATGTAATTTTTTTTTTCTCCGTTAAAAATCGGCTTTCTGTATGAGAATCATGATCATATGATTTTTTCATGTTTTGGACTCGTAAGAATTAGGAAAAAAATCATCATTAAATAATTCCGAATTTAACTATGAAAATAAAAATAATTTTTAAAAAACAGGTTTTTTCGAAATTCTCGGATTCCGTTTGAGTTAAAGAACTAAAAATTGATGTGAATTATTTTCATTCGACACCAAATCGACTACCTATATTAAGTATATTACTACATTATATTACAACTACATTATATATAAGTATAAGTCAAAAAAGCCATGGGGTCAGAATTCCCATATTAATTCGGCTATACCCTTTTTCGAAATTTTTTTTTCCGAATAAACAAGTCGGACGCCAAATTGCAATCAGTCGTTTTAATCTTTCCGAGTAAGTACTTTTTTTTTTTTGACTAAGATTCGATTAAATTTTTTTCAGACAGCACTATTTGCAGAAACATAGCTTTCGATAAGTCTAAAAAATTAAATGGTCATGAGGTGAAGCTAGCAGCTTTTATCGATATCAAAAACATCCCTCGGAAAAATTTGTCTTCTGAAATAACTAAGTATTTGAAGAAAATGAAAAAAAAAAGGATCGATGACTGTATACGAAATATTATCGCTGATCAAAGCCAAGGACAACACATGGTTTTTTTCCTTCTTCGGTTCAAACGGCGTCCTTTAAAAACGGATATTTCAGACAATTAGCCGAGACACCGATTGATGTTCTAGACAAATCGTTCCAGTTAGCTGACACTAACTACAAATACATGGATATTTTAACACGGTATGACGTAATTACTTATTCAATCCTAACAAAAAAATCGAACTATTTGACGACAATTAGTCAAGTTGCTTGCAATTATCAATTCCTGTTCCTGACAATCATCATGTTAATGTTGATTGGGATGATAATCATAATTAACAACAAATTTGATATCAGTAGCGGTATCTTGGATGTTATGAGTCTGACAGCAGGCATGGGAGTGATCACACCTCTAGACCGGTTGTCGATGCGGATAATCTACATCGCTGGATTCTTGTTTGTCTTCACCGTGATGCCTGAATTCCAAGGTCAGGTGTCTGCTATACTGTCAGAACCATTGAGGCGCAACGTCGAGTCATTAAAAGATCTTTATGATAACAAATATCATGTTTACTACCACACTGTAAAAAAAGCGGTGTTAAAATGGACTCATTTTAACACCGCTGTGCAACACCGGTCAATTACACCGGTGTTAAAATGGTTCTCGGCGGTGTTAAAAATTCGGTGTTAAATCGGTGTTACATCGGTGTTACAGCGGTGTACAGTAACTCCGTATCGGTGTATTATCAGTAAAGAATTTATGAAACACTAAATAATATTAGATATTAATTAAAATTGAACAAATTAATGTTTATTTTACAATTAGACTGAAATCAAATAAAACATAAATTAACTTAATATAATAAATACAACAAGTTATTAAATATTTACAGTAATAAATTTTTAGAAGCTATATAGTAGTTACACTGTAAAAAATTTTTTGGACTCGGTGTGGTGTAAATGATTCGGTGTAAAAATTTTTAACACGGACGGTGTGAAAATCACAGTAAGTGTCACCAATAGTCAATTTATGATGATAAGTATTTAGGCTGCATTCGAAAATGCTCTATTTCTAAATACATAATTAAGAAATGACCTTGTACCTTGTGAACTATTGACATTTTTAAATATATAAGCTCATCCCGTTGTTACACTCATCAAGACCTTTCATTTAAGTACCCACATCATTTTTTCATATATTTATATAAATAGTTGACAAGATACAATGTCATTTCTTAATTATTGACATTTTTTAAGATATAAGCTCATCTCGATCTTAAACTCATCACGACCCTTCATTTAAGTACCCATATCATTTTTTCATATATTTATATATATTATATATATGAATATATAAAAAATATATCAAAATGCGTGTGGGTACTCAAATGAAAGCTCTTGATGATTGTATCATCGGGATGAGCTTATATCTTTAAAAAAGTCATTAGTTAAAAAAGTACAGTGCAATTTAACAAAAGTCATTATTTAATAAAGCAAAATTTTATTTATTTATAGTTCACAAGTCACGGCAGTCACATATTAAGTTTGCAAAGTTATAAATAATAACACGGAATAGTGTAAAACAGTAAATTACACCGTGTTAAATTTATACGAGTGAAAATTTCACACGAAGGAAATTTTACACCGACTTTTCACACTTACACGACGGTGTAAAAGTCTCTGAGTTCAACTTTTACACCGAAATTTTTTACTGTGTACATTTATCATAACATTGATGTTTTTCACAAGGTAGTGGAAATTTCAAATCCGAAAAACTAATAATTTGGAATTTTTCTTCCATTTCTTCAATTATTTCATTTGTACATAAGCTCGCATCATAACAAACAGTCTCCCATAATTTACAGTAAAACATTAAATTATTATCATTAACGAAAATATTTTTCTTGTAGGTAAAGTGAAATTCAAACTCTGATACTTCATAAACTACACTGCTCAGAGTTAAAGCTTCATCAGAGTTTACTTCATGATATGGAATATTGTCAAACAAATTTCTGAGCTTCTCAAATTTTCCTTTTCCGAGTTTTAAAATATTGTCATTTTCGTTCAATTCATTCCATTTGTAGTAAATGAATTTTTGGTGCTGAGTGGCCAACATTTTTGGAACATTGATATAATTTTTGTATAGAAAAATTAATTTTTTGAAGTAATTATACTTAGCTTCAAATTGCTTTTTACGTGAAAAAAATTTTAAATATCAATATCTTCCTCTTTTATTATTTTTTTTATTATTTATTTCCAATTATTAAAGATGTACGGTTCGATTATAAATATTGTGTTAATTAAAACAAATTTATACCGCCGGAAAATTTATAACACCGTTTTAACACCGAAAAAAATATTTACACCGCAAACGGTGTTACATCGGTGTTATTATAACACCGATTTCGGTGTTAAATTTAACACCGGACTTACACCGGTTTTTTTTTTACAGTGCATGCAACATTAGTGAGAAACATATTCAATGAAAAATTGTGGGTTACTGATGATGATATGCAGTACTTGCACCCATCTAGTTATTCTGAGCTAGGCAGATGTGCAGTCGAGGCGGAGTTTAACTCTACGGTTGCTTGTATTTCACAGAAGCGTTTTCAACAATTGTATGCATCGAAATCAACGAACTTGCATTTATCAAAAGACGTTATTTTCGAAAAGTGTTTTGTCAACTGGGTCAGAAAAGATTGGAGTCTTAAAGACAAACTTGATAGAGTCAGTTCTTGGACCGTTGAATCAGGGTTCTATAGTGGTCAGATATCTCAAGAAATCGAGTATTTTACAAAAAAGCTCAGAGAAGCCAAACGGATTGAAGAGCGTGCTAGTTTCGAGTTTATTGATTTCGATACCTTAATATTGAGTTACATGATCGTTCTTGGGCTTTCAATATGGGGGCTGGTTGCCTTCGGGCTGGAGCTGCTTTTTCACAAGTATGAAAAACGTCGCAGACAAACTCTGATCAGAAGACGACACCGCATGGAACTCAAATCGCAGCTAAGGAATGTTTCTTCTATTGAGCAGATTATTCCGTCCAACCCTGGAACCTCTTTTGAGGGTTAAAAATATTAAATGAGCATATTGTAACGTAGTAATTCTTAAATATCAGTAGTCGTTGCTTAGTTGTGTGTTCGCTGTAGTCACTTTAATTCTTGGTATTTTAAAGTTTGTAATTACAAGAAAATAAAGTTCGATTATAGCCAAAATTGAAATTTTTTCCTACGATATTCTAGTATGAACAATAAATACCATGAAGAAAGATCCAAATAATTTTAATCATTGTGAATTGATACTTAAAAAAATTCAGTTAAATTATTGAGCTGTATTCAATATCACATATATTTAAGGATAAAAATAAATTGTGTAAGTATTTAAAAAATTAAAACATTTCATAAACAGTTTGTTAAGCACTAATAGTAATTTTATTACATTAAAAACACTCACACACACGTCATCATGGGAATAGTCAGAGTAGCTTCCTAGGACCTCAAAACGTGAAGATCTGATGAGAACTCAATTTTCGAGAATCAGGATGAAACCAATAACTTCTCGATTTTTGAAATTCTCAAAAATCATCACGTACTGCCTGTATTAACTTGTAATAAAAGTGTATATTATTATAAAAATATTATACATGTCTTCTAACAAGTTGAATATTTTAGAGTCAGTGCAAGTCTGGAAAATTACAACAAAACAAAGAGAGATTTGATTATCATTTTTGAATGGCTGACCGTAAAAATGTAATAAAAAAATAAAGTTTAACAGTTTTATATTTTGAAATTTATCGTATTTTTGCTTTCAAAATTTGGAAAAACTTTGTCAATTTAACTAAAAACTATCATTGTAATCGATAAAATCTAATTAAATATGAACGATTTTTAATTATTCAACTTTGAGATTATGCCGTAACTTAATAGTCTGAATTAATTGTAACTCATCGTGAATTGAATTATTAAACTTAAGAGGAATCGACAGAGGAAATTGATTTATAATTTTAGAACTTGTCACGTCGCTTTAAAATAAATTAAAGTAACATTTATCTTGAAATATATTATCCAACTATATACTATATATTGTATAAGTACTTGAGTAGTTGAGCGGCGACACAGATATACGTATAATCTTTACACGTTCGGGAAGTTACGAATGTGTTAGATAAGTTTCGGTTTAATTAGTAATGTAAATCGGCCTAAGCAGTTAATTATTATGGAGATATACGACGTTGTAGCGGATATGGTTTACGGAGGCTGAAGTAACTTAGATATAGTTGAATTATTGTATGCAATTAATACCGTTACTTCTTATCTTAAATTCATAAGTATTTACTTTTCATGTATAAAATAGTGTTTGCATTGAAAAAACGGTTTATACTATAATTTTTAAGCCCTCTTCACGCAAAACAAATTTTGTTGGGACAAATCATATATTATGATAACAAAGTAAGTAATAATAAGTAATTTATGTCTTTTAACAACAAAACAGTTTTGATATTAGAGTAGATATAGTGAATTCAATAAAATATTTTAGTTTGATGAACAAATCGATTATTGAACAAGCTAAATTATTTTGTTCAAATAACTAATAATTTTGGTAGCTACATTTTCGAAAAAACATTGTTTCAAGACAGTAATTGAATCGTTTATTTGAGAAACCCCATAAGTCATATTTTTTTCGAAATCGGGTTTATTGCATTTTTCGGTTCTTTGAACTTCCCCTCACTTATATCAGCACCAAAAAATATTAAATCCGTGTTCAAGACCTAACCAATCGGTCGATATAAATCTCGTTTAGTTGAGGAACCCCATAAGTCAGTGATTTATGGGGTTTTTCGAATAAACATTCAATTTCAAAATTCCAAAAATAAATTTCTTTCTGTTTTTTTTTTTTTTTTTTTTTTTTTTTTTTTTTTTAAAAAAACTTTTTTTAAGTAGAAAAATTCAGTTCAATGTAAAATACTTAAATTTTAATAATTTTCACAGTGTAGGTTTATAAAAATTAAATTAAATTATTGTTTTAATGTTTGATCTGATTTCACTGACTATAACTTTAAAATGATTGATTATTAGATAATTAGAAACTAAATTTACTGTTAAATACTTGAATTTCAATGAGTTTTACAATATTCGCTTGATGAGTTAAAATTAAAAATATGTTCGTTTTATTATTGACTCTGATTTAACTAATTTAAATTCTGAAATTAATGATAACCAAATAAGAATATATTATATTTACTGTTAAAGACTTTGATTTCAATAATTTTTGCAATTTTAGTATTATAAAGTTAGATTGTGATTTATCATAATTTTTGTTAATTTTGGTTCCAATACATATTTTGTATTTTATTTTATAAATATAATAAATGATTGACGGAAAAAAATTGATAAATTAATGATTTTATTACTATTGTGTTTGTTTATTTGAGAAACCCTATAAGTCAATCAAATCATCATTATTATGAATAGTAGTAATTAACAATTAAATTTTTTCATGCTCGAATATTTTTTCGGGATACTAACATTATTATTCATCATTGGTTCATGATGTTAATGCAAACTTAACCGAGAAAAATGTTTTTTGCTTCTCTTGAAAAACTTAGTATTTTTGACAAATGGGGTTTCTCAAATAAACGATTCAATTAGATTTTCAAGCTCGGAGTTGTATTTTGAGCTGGAATTGCTAAAAACTTTGCAATAAAAAAGTTTTTGATCATTTTGCACTTGAAAATAACAGGAAATTCCAGGTATAGCCTGTAGGATAAAACCATGTCCAGGATTTTTTAATTGTTACAGCAATAAAAAAAATTGTTAATTATAACTTCAATAGAAATTTTGGCGAAAAGCTTCTTAGAATTCTATAACTATTTTTAGCAAAGAAATCACTTTGTTATGGCACCGTCATATTAAAAAAATTTTTAATTTAAAATTGCACGCCTTCTAAAAGTAACTTTATTTTTGATAGAATTTTCACTGTGTTTACATCTTTAATCTGCGAATTACTCTAAAAAAAAAGATGATTAGGTAAATAATTAGATACAATAGTTGATAGTAAAAAAAAAAACATAATAATTGTGGGTGGCTTTTGCCAAGATGGTAGTTGTATACGCACAGTAACTCACAGCAGTGATTACATTTCCTTGCCAGTTGGATACTGTGCCAGAAAGTACCAGCAAACGATTTTCTTGTGAGAAACTAGCGTAATAGTATATTTCGCTCGCCAGGAGTTTTACTTTTGACGTAAGTAGCGAATTACGCCTACAATTTAAATCATGTCGAGAAATATTTATTTAATCTATAAATGAAGAAAACAAACAAACTGTTAGTGCTTTTTCGACTTTTGGACAATTTTTTACCAAGATTCTCGTAGAGAACAGTCTGGTATAGACATATTATATATAGTGCCTAAGTTACAGCCATGTATGAAAATTAAAAAAATAATTTATTGTAATCTTTCAATTTTTTCCAAAAATAGGTTCGTCAACAATTACGTCGTATTAAATCAAAATAGGTTAAATAGTTAATTAAATTTATAAATAAATAACATCACTGATTGAAGGATTTCTTAGGGAGTAAGAAATTGATTTCTTAAAAATTTTTTAAGTGATTTTTTACGGAATAAAAAATATTTCTTAATAATTAAAAATACTTATTAAAATAAATTACTTCTTTACATTTAAGAAATATTTTTAATATTTAATCCTAACAAAGCCTTGTTAGATGGAAATAAATATCTCTTACCACCAAAAAAGATTTCTTAATAATTAAGAAATATTTCTTAAGAAAAATAGTTGGTAGATGGCTGTACCCTGACTTGTCTGTGTACTTATGCCTATATGAGTTAGTAAGGGCTGTGCGATACACATTTGAATGTGTGTGGTCAAGTCGCCATATTGATTGTTTACTCCGCGCCAATTTACGCACTAAATTTGTCTGTCATAAAAATTTATATTATTGATTTGTGATTGATATGATATGGAAATAAAATATGAAAGAGTTGTTGAGATCATGGAAATTGAGTGATTTATATAAAACTTTTTGTGGTTAAGTTTCTTCACATTTAATAAATAATTTCTTTATAGTCAACATATATGCAATTTTTAAGATTAAAAAAACTTTTTTTTGATATTTAATATTCATTCATTAATATTTAATGAATTAACTGCTCAACTTCTTGGCTTATAGTTAAATAATATATAATTATTAACTATCAAAAGATGATTGTTTAATATTAAAAATTGTTTATTGGCTAGAAAAAAATGATTTCTTAAATACAAAGAAAATGCAGATAACTTCCTTAGAAAGGTAAAAACAAATAATTTTTATTTTAAAACTTAATATGATAGACTTAACACTCTTGTGAAGACAATATTTAGCAATCATGCACCTTCTGTTAGAAATTTTAAATAGTAAATTTGGATAATAAATTAATATGTTAGTATAAAGATTACAAATCATACATTACGGTATTAATTTTAATATGTCAACAAATTAATTTTCTTGACATATTAAAATTAATAATGTAACGATAACGAAATAATTTTGTTGTGACAACAAATAGATATTATTCTAACAAAAAGATAATTTTATCAATAAGACGATAGAAACTGTTGTTAGTTGTGAGTGATTATTTACTTATTTATTTACGAATATTTTATATTAAAAATAGTTTATCCATCCGAGAAATCGATAAGTTAAATGTAATATTCATAGAAGCAAGTGCAAAGTGTTGTGAAATTGCTTGAAGAAAACTTTTTCCTAACTGTATAAAGCGACGTGACAATTGCACATGGGAGAGCTACCGGCTATTCTTCGGTATGTATTTGAAAAACGAATGTGCTAAAATGAGAAACTGTTCTCTATGGTTGGAAACTTCTTTAGAATATATTATGTACATACGGAGCTCGATGTATTTATATACAGTAGCAGCATCTCGCGTCACTGGTTGCCGATTTAGTTTTTCAGAAAATCTTTTTTATATTGCAAACTTTTCAATATAAAAGTTGCTAGAAATGACAATGTTTTACGTGATTTAGAACGCCAAGAGTTTAGGAGTATGCATTGATTTCGACTTATCAACACTGTTAAAAATTTCTATTGTAATTTTACAAGAAATGTATTGGAAGCTAATAGGCAAAACATTTATTTAAAATTACAATCGGGTATAGTAAAATTACAAAACATATATAGCTCAGTGAGGTTACTAATTTTACAAAACGGTTTTGTAATTTTACAAATATTTTTAGATTAGCTAAGTTTGTAAAATTACAATACTTTCCTTGAATTTTATTTTAATTGAAATAATAAAAAAGAAAGATTTGATTTAATATCTGTTGTCATTTTATTGTTATGAAGCGCTGACTAGATTTGGTATCTCACGTAGACCTAATTTGTTCAACTCAGATGATTTAAAGTGAAAATAATATATACCCTAACTAAGAACCGAACCCGAGCCGCGCGCTTGCCAGACCGATACCTAACGCCCTACGCCGTACGACCGATAGGTGATTCAACATCTTATTATTCTTATAAGCTAATCCTATGTGGTGATTGAGCATTACGGCTTATTATTTATAATTTACATTAATTGTGTTATTTTATGG